CTTTTCCCTCACAGAAGACTTTGCTAGGCATACATTTCAGAATCTAATCATAGACAACTTAAATCTTTCCAACATTACACACATTAGTAATTGCAAAATAATAAACATGACAAAATTCAGATTAATAGGGCATCCTGCATAACTCGGATGGCAGGGAGAGCCCTCTGGAATTCTAAGAGTAATAGGTCTGTGTTTATTTCTCAACCGTCGGCATAATGTGACTGATTTACAAGAGTTTAACTCAAGTGTTAATCTGACAGTGACGAAGAGCTTCTCAGTGGCAGAATCACTTACACTATCATATTAGTTGCCTCCTCTATTAAAGCAGTATGGTCGATAATTGGAATGCTTTTATGTCTAGTGGTTCTGACAAGGCTCTCTTTAGGTCACATATGGGCGGTCTGGCTTGCTGCACAGCTGAACAGTGGCAAATGATTTAAACTGAGAAAGTATTGTTCTCCTCATATTATGGAGCAAGGGCAGTTCAAGGAAAGTAAGGCTCTGCACCGGCTACCTGCTGGTGTGTAGTAAAATAAGATGGACATGATACTGGGTTGGGAGTACAATTAAATCTATTTTGCACCGACGTGTTGGTGGACAGATGAGTTTCCACATGGCAGAGCTTTATGATCTTTAAGGTAGACTGAACTAATAGATTGGTGTGGAACGCACTGAAGTTACTAAGGATGAGAAAGCAAGCAGCAGTACATTTGAACTACAGGTTTCTCATATGCTCCGCGTCATGCTGAGTTTTTATAGCTCCTGGCTTTCAAAAAGCCTGTTTCAAAGAGGTTTGCGCTAGACTGGGCATGCAGTTTTGCTCTGCAGATATTGTCGCTACCGATTTAGTGGAATGCAATTAGGAAGCCTAAATTAAGTGGTAATGGAGAACCAGCTCTTGAAACTGGGGTTTCCACGGCAACCACTGCTTACAATACAGCCTTCAGTTAGTTTTCCCACTTTATCTGCAAAATGCACAATTGAGCTTTAAAACAGCTTTGTGCTGAAAAGCGCACTGTAAACAACTGTTTGCAATGAGAGTTTTACACTGTCTTTAAATACAACAAGCTATCAAATAAAATTTACTTGTCCCTACTAATAAAAAAATAAATAAAAAATCCACACAGTACAAAACACTAAAGAGTCCAGAAACTTACTATTCATTCTGGAAATTTATATATAATATGAAAATTCAGGATCTTGTGGCTCATCAATTTGTCTTTTAAGTCTTATCATAATTCCTCAATTTTAAGACGTATAATCCCGTATCTCTCAGTAGTGAGAAGAACTGAGCATTTTGGTACAAATACTGCATTTATCGCAATAGCAACGTTACATAGTTATAAAGTGCTTTTTGTCTAATATGAACTAATAAATGTGCTTTTTCATCAGACTCCCTTTTACATCTAGCAATCTTTTATAGATTTTTTTCCCCTCTATAATACATTATTATATCCTTCATAAATGTTCTTTTTTTATGACAAAGTAGGGCTGTGCCATTTCTGAACTGCTTAATATTCTTGATTGCTTTAGGATCACAGCCCAACTTTTGCATCGTGTCAAAGGCAACCACAGGTGATTAAATATGTGCAAAATACAGGAAAGTGGAAAGGGTGATGTTAAGATCATGTGTAATTTGTATTGACCACCCTTTTCATGATAACCCCATCAAACTGAATCTCTAAGCTGAAATTAAGTATCTGCAACCAATTGTTCTCCTCTGTTGTACAATCACAAGTCTTAGTTTAATACTTTCAGGTGATTAGTAAGAGTTGGAGCTTGGCAGTTTTTAACATTCCCCTTTTTTTTCCCCTTCCTTAAAGATAAAAATCTCAGAGAAAACACGGTGCAAACCTCCCTGAGATAATTTCAGACGAGATATCACATAACTTTGATTTTTGTCCTATCGGTAGCATTTTTTGGAAAAAGAAGAAAGATGCACCAGCAAAGGATCCCACAGCAAATCAAACCAGATCTAATTTGTGTCTCAGCTGAAATACATCAACCCAAACAACTTGCAGCCTTTTAAGGCTGATACACTTTGTGTGTGTGTGTGTGTGTGTGTTATAGCAACCATACCGGGTCGATGTAGAGAGAGAGAAAAAGGGTGTGGGGGTGAAGGTGGTGAGAAGGGGAGAGAAGGGGGAGGTGTGGGTGCCTTCCCTCAGGAGTCTATTGGTCAGAAGACTGCATCTTGACATCTGCAGTCGTGTATAAATCTGGATTTGATATAGTCTCTGCAGACTTTGAACATGCCAGGCAGGGAAGCTTGCCCTTCTCAGTATGGGTGCGCTTTCAGATGCAGAGATTGGGCTGTGACTATTCTGATCTGCTCGAAACAGCCTTTTCAGCACTAACCGAAAACAGAGTGAGGATGGGAAGGCTGACTGCAAAGTTCACATCTCCTCTGCTGTGTGCTGGTGCTAATGGGAGTTTCTCCTGTGATGGGTAGGTCATAAAACACACAGCTGCAGAGACTGTGAAGGGTCTGAGCAAATCAAAGAACTTAGTAGTAAAAATGATGTGTGTGCCAATATAATTTAATATTAGCTTGTGAAAACTGTTGAAGAAACATATCTTTGTCATATATCAGAACTGGTTCAAAGTTGAATCAACGGATTAATAGGGTTATTTGTATTGATATTTTCCTCATAAAGGCTTTATTATTTAGGAATCAGAGCTGGAAACTGTAATTTCTTTAATGATTTTTTCATCACATAAATTAGCCTGCCTCAACTCCTCCGTCTAGAAGGCAAGAGGAGAGGTTGAGCTGGTCCTCTTCCTCATTCTTACACAAAATCTGCTCGTTTGGATGGATCCCAAATTTTAAAGAAACAAGTTCCTGGAAGAAATGCAGAATGCAAGTGCACACAAGACTTTCACAGGGCATCTCGTTTCAACACCGACTGCCTGCATTTTATCGGAGTACTAAAGGACACATTGAAATTATTTTGTTCTGGCACTGGCATGCGTTGTGATGTGTATGCATTCAATTGCACTTGACAAATCTTTGGGGCAAACAAAATGGTCTAATGTAAGGAAATATCTTAACATATTCCAAAATGACATTTTTAGACCAAACATGTGTTCGATTGATTTGCCTTCTCCAGAGATCACTTTTGAATCTGGGCCAGCGATAAGCAGGGGGGGCAGGCTCTTGCTGAAGGCCAGGCGGGTCAGCCGTGCTTCCGCTGGTATTTCCTGCGCTGCAGAGTCCCGTACCTAACTGTACAAATAGCTCCACATGGCATCCTGAGAGCGTGCCAGGGAATTTTATGATCGCATGCCAAGTATGGTTGTCAGGTTCCACTCCACTGCTGTGTGTGTATGCGTGTGCTCATATGTGTGTGTGGCTGGAGCTAACTTCAGACTGAGTAATTACCATAATCCAAACAGGGCCTTTACCATCTTATTTGCATTCAGCCAGCAGTGCTGTTTTTATCAGCACCACTACTGAATTGTTGCAAAGTTTTAATTATCTTGACAACTCTCCTCTCTTTTTTTTTTTTTCCTCTCTCCCCTCTTGGTTTGTGTTTGGATTTCAGTAGTCATACCCCCACAGCAGCAAATCAGATTTCTGCAATGGGAAGTTTTCTCACTTTTTCTTCTAGTACCTATAAGCTGATGCAAAGGCTGCATAGAATGAGGACAGAGCAAAGTTGTATTTATTAATTAATGCCTAATATTTTTTGCAGCAAAAGTCACTCCAGATGCCTCTTTTTGATTTGTATTTGAAACCCTGGTGTAACTTTACACATGTGTGTAAGCTTGCAAAATTTAAAGAAAATCATTTCCTATGCAGACAGATACCCCCTTGCATAAATGTTTGCCAAAACAGAGCTTTAGTTGTCATGTTTTCTATATTTCCATAATCTTTTGATTTAGGATTAGTATAAAGTGTATCATGTCACTTATATTTGCTCTTTCTCAAACGCTCTGCATTTTCAGTATTTGAATGCTAAGTTAGACAAATTCAACCTTGAAATAAGACACCGTTTCCTAGCAGTAAGGGTAATTAAACACTGGAAGAGCTTACCCAGGGAAGAGGGGGTCTCACTACATCTTGGAGTCTTTAAAATGAGATTTTAGAAGATTAGACAATTTTCTGAAAGACGTTTATCTAATCCAGCTTCTGGGGAAAGATTCTAGTGTACGTATACAGGAGGTTAGATGAGACGATCGCCCAAGTCCCTTTTGATTTCTCAGCCTGTTGGCCTAAACCTGAGTTTGGATATGTTTCAGTTCACATTTAAAGATCAGTTATAATATCTCCAGACAGAAATTGTCTTTTGGGAATATTAAGAGTAAATATATTTCAAAACTTTGTTGTCTGCTGTAGAAAATAATAGTTTGTCAGTTAGGTTTTGCACTGCCTTTTGTTTTGCTTTTATAAGTAGTTACAAATCACAAAGGTTAATGCAGATTAAAATATTCCAGTATGAGATCACTACGGAGGAATAGAAGGCTTTCAAGCCTAAAGATTCACAAGCGGAACAAATGTAAAAATGATTTCTAGTCTTTTGGCTTCTCAGGTGCAACAAATATTTTTCTTTAAAAAAAGCACAATTAATATATTTTTCTAACCATAGAATACTATGATTGTGCTTAGTGTCTCATCTCTTTTGAAGTTTATGCATTAGATTGCATATAATTGCCATCAAACAGTGTGGTAGTATTCTGTTATTCTGAAAGGTAAACAAATTCTGTTTAGCAGTTGTTAAACATTTGGTTTGCTGCAGTTTGGCCTTATGAACACTTTATCCTTGTTTTCCCTTTAAAAGGAAAAAATTAAAGGTAAGAACCATTAGGGATTTCTCTTTAAATCCAGCAATCTATGCATACTACTAAGAATCAATGCTCTGTAAGCTGTCTGGTGTTCTGCAATAAATTCTAGCTTTTATAGACTTTTTCTGGGCTAGGTAGCTGCTAATGCCATAGAAATTGATTATTTGTGGTGTTCTTATCACTGCTTAAAATATCTAATTGCTTTTTCTCCACAGATTTGGATTTGGCTTGCTTGATGCTGGACGATTAATGAAGGAAGCCCTAACTGGACAAATGTTGGTCTCCTGAGACAATGTGTTGTTGATAACAGGTCTGATTTGAGCAAGTCTAGTCAAATTCAATTTTAGTAGTATTTAAAGGCACACGCAGGACACATATCGCTGAGTTTTCAATTGGTTTGTCAGGTTTTTTAAGTCTGTTGTGTTACCAAAGCTTATTCCCATTAAGTATTAAACTTTCCAAAGCAGCAAAGACACGTACCTGTCATTTCCAGAGAAATAAATTTTGCCTCAGTATAGCAAGTTTTGGTCAAAATTTGCCTTTATTCTTTCACACTATGCAGACTGGAATATGTAATTCATCACTGCATGACTGTTCCCGTGGAGGAATTATTGCACTCTGATTATTTTGAACCCTAAAAACTATTGATTGAGGTAAAAAGGAGACAAAAAGGTATTGCAATCAGTTCTCAGTTTAGCAAGGGCAGCCTTTTTAAATGCAGCTAGTCCTTAGCCTAGAAGCTGTATGCAGTTGCTACTGCTTCTGTAGGATTTTTCATGAAGCTGTGCCTGTGTCATTTATGTGAAGTTAAGTACAAAACATTTTCCACTGCACTACCAAATGAGGATAAACACCAAACATCAAATCACTATCTTACTGGATCACTGTATAGAGTGTGAAATTTGGTCTGCAGCTGAGGAAGAAAAAGGTCTCATATGCCACCAGAATACTGGACTCCAGGATGTCGCCATTCTCATCAAGTCAAAGCAATGACATCTAGAGTTCAGTAGGGTCTTGAGTACTTTCCTCCTTTCAAGAGCTCTTGTTTTCTAGAGTTATATAAACCAGAGGGAAGTGGAATTTGCATTCATATACCTTGCACCCTTTCTAACCATGGTGCCAGCCTCTCTTTGTCCCCAGAGGGGATTATTGAAGGAGAGCCTAATGGCCAGCTCCCTGGAGGTCTAGGCACGGCACTGCACATCATTTTTAAGCACCAGCTTGCAGAAGTGACTGCAGACCCTGGTGTTTGTTGTCTTTTGAATGCTGTGTAGAGAAAGGCAGAAATCTCAGAATGAGAAGCAAAACAGATGGACATGGAAAGCATAAGGTCCATGCTCCAGCTCCAGCATGTATCTGTAATCATAACCCTTTTCATCAAAGTGTCCCTCACCAGTCTGGGGCCTGGAGTTCTCTCCTCAAGCTGACACTAACAATATTCAATACAAATAAATCAATTGTCTTTTGCATCATTATCACAGTCACAGCAGTCATGCTGCCAACTAATTTTTTATCTAACAGTCTAGTAATGCTTTAGGCAATGCTTCACATATGAGGACACTCCAGATCAGTTCTCTTTGCAGCCCCAGAACAGTCAGCCTTGTCACTGCCACCTTGCACTGGTGCTCCTTAGACACAATGCTCTGAATCAAAGTGCTCCCTCTCTCTTGGAAACATGCAATATTTTAGGAAACAGTGTAAGGTTTATTAGTCTGGAATAAAACAAGAGACACACCGTAATTTTTTTTTCCTGCTGAGCAGGTACAGAACCCAGTTACCTAGGAGGGACTCATCCCACAAGCTATGGCATGTTTTTGTTTACCCATTTTAGCCAGATTAATGTTAATGCAGAAGATATTCAAACAGCTGGTTTTTTGCACCTATGGATCAATGACTTCTGCATGTTTTTTTAAGCCTTTCTATGGAAAGGGCAGGAATGCACTAGGAATGTGCAGTCCTGTGAGGTCATTGCTTACCAAAAATTTCTCCTCCGTTCAATCCTGCAGTGATTCTCCAGCAAAGCAATGGCTGAGAGATACACTCCAGAGGAACAGGAGCACTTTCCCTTTTGTCTGTCAATATTACATGTAAAAGGCACAGCAAGGAAGTCTGTTTCTCAGTATTGTACCTACTTGAGGCTCCTGAAGGTGTGATTAATTAGGTGTGATTAATTAAACCATGAGTCATGACCTTCTTCTTTTCCTGTCACATTACTTACGAACAAGAGGGCAGTCAGTGATATTAAATGGTATGATAAAGCAAATTTAGAGGAAAATTTAGAAAGAAATTAGTTGTGTTGCATGTGGTCAACCTATGGGATTCGCTGCTACAGGTAACCACCCGATAAATAGGGTTCCATGGCTGGAAAGAGTAGTTGTTAATCTGTTATTATCATTACAGATGGAACCAGTGCTGTGTTTCTTGGACTGCTGGGTGCACTGGAAAGGCAGACATGAGTCCTGCTTGGCTAATGAAGTAAGATGAAGTTATCCATGGGCTGGAAAGTCAGGCAGGAATGCTGTTCTCCACAGACAGCACTGTTAGCTTGATCTGTGACTTGCCATTTTATTGGTTGGTTGGTTGGTTGGTTGGTTGTTTATTTGTCTGTCTTTTTAATTCCTCTGGAAAATACTGTACTGGCTCTCTGTTTTGACTGAATGGCCAGGCTTTGGCAGAAGACATAGCATTCTTCTTCTCTGACCTTTATATCAAAATTGATTAACAATAATTATTTTGCAGAAGAGGATTGACAACAAGACGTGGATGTTCATCTTTAATGACCTGTAGTCACCAAGTGGAAATCAGCTAATTTTGATGATACAACTGACCACCTTCTCAGAAATAGCTAAATATTTACTCCTTCACAAAATGGTAAAGTAATATTTTATCCTTAGATAATATAAAGAACAACCTTTTGGCTCTCATAATTTCTTGGGACCTTTCTCATTAGTGGCAGTAACAAGATGTGCTGGCTAATATTTATGCAGTCAGAAATGGCATAACTTAGAATTAGAACCTGTGTAATTCTGTCAAATATTCAGAATTTTATGTTTATATATTTTAATCTATGTAAAGTATGGAGTCCTCTCATAATCTAATTGGTTTTGTTTGTTATCAAGTTTGACATTTTACAGAAGAGTTCACTGGAAGGTGTCTGTTTTATATTGTTCTCACTTCCTAATAGAAGACCTTACTTAAAAGAATATTTGTTTTCAATTACGAAAATACTTTCCTGATCTCATTAAACAAAAAAAAGACAAAGTGCTATTTTTCCTTTTTATTTGTGACAATACAAATTAAACACACCTATGGCAAACCAATTACTGTATTTATGTTTTTTATACAGAGCAAGACTATTAACTGTGAACGTGGAGAGATGAAGCAAGCAAAAAACAAGAGAAGTGTGAAGAGCTTTGCTGCCATATCATCTGTGACACTGTATCAGCTCCTAGTTTTAGGATCGATGAGTGAATAGGTGTATAAGAGATACACTGTTATCCTACAAAGAAGGGTTATTTCAAAGAAAGAAAGAGAAAAAACTAAAAGGGATGTCAGTATATTCTTGGGCACTATATGATGACAATCTTAGAGAGGGAGCTTCATTTGGTGTTCTTCTAATTTTGAATCTATGCAGTGGAACAGTACTACAGAGAGATCTAGATGATAACGCTCTTGATCTTATCAAGTATTGCCATAGTGCTAGTATTGTCACTTTCTTGTTGAATTTACTCACGAGAGAGAAACCATTCTGTTATATTAATTAAAGATTTACATTCTGTCCTTCATTTCTGCACTTTACATTATTGTTTAAAAAAAGACAGAAAGGGATTAAATGGGGCAGGAAAAGAAGCAAAAATAGAGGTGAAGTAATAGCAAAAATCAAACATTAAATATTTCCTGTAACTGCAGTCAGAAGTGGGTATTATATTTGACCAAATAACCAAATCCCCCACCACAAGTCAGAACTTCACTTTTTATTTCAATACTCTTGATAGAAAGGACCCGATCCGTTATTCTGTGTGTGCTAAATAGTGTACTACCAACACTAATAGACCAAGCAGATGGTTTTGTTTTATTTTCTGAATGGTGTAATGTTTTGCTGCAAATATAAATAGTGTGCTCGTTTACCTGATCCAAGTTCCCAATGTACTTTTTAATAAACCAAGTAATTTTGACAGAAATATGTTGACCAAGCCTAGCCTAACACTATTCACACAGTGAGTTCAATACTGACATAAATTCCACCAATTAAAAAAGTCAGTGGTATTGCATTTATTTTTAGAAGTTGAAGGATAAAGACAGAAATGCAAGAGAAGGAGCACTAAGAACCATATAGTCCCTGCTCTTTAAAGGTCTCATCCAGAGCCTGTTAAGGTAATGTGCATATTATTTTTTATTTTAACAGACTTTGCATAAGTCAAAAATTATTGAAAATTAGGAACAGGAAAAAGAATCACTCTATTAACATTTGTTAGGTTATATCCATAAGAAACTTGTAAAAAATGAAAACAGAAGAAATTATTAAAGCAGATCCAAATATTACATTTATTCTAGAATTCAGGATTACGTCATTTTCTGCTCCAACAGAAGAGTGTGATGTCGCAAACATCAGATTTTTCCAAAGTCTTTCCTGAAAACATTTCCTATCATGGAATACTTTACCTTGCTTTCTTCTTACAGATATTCCTTCTAGAAACATGTCCCTTCGGACAAGCAATTAAGGAATATCAGGGGGGTAGTCTGGAGCATACCACAACTTGGGACACCAAAGCATTACAGATTGCTCTCGTGGGAATTGCTGGTTGGGAATTGGTGGTGGGTCAGGAAAAAAGCCAAAGCAGAGTGCCCAAGACTGCCCCAGAGATCAGAAGCAAGACTAAACACCACTCTTCCAAACCAAGATTTCTGAGCTAACCTAGATTTTCATTTATAGTTAAAGCAGAGAGATTTTATTCTTACAGTGGATTTTTATCTCATATAAAATCAAGCAAGCAAAAGGACTATAAGATTAGATCCTCCTTCTGCATTCCACCAAAGGAGAACTGGGGAAAAAACAGATGGAGTGATTTGCTGGGGTAAGATGAACCCTCGGCTGAACGAGACCTCCTGTCCTGTTCAGAGGCTGCCCTTTCCTGACTGTGATGTGGAAGAAAGACAGCTATCAGCAGGCCCTTGCAAAAACCCTCCACCTGTTTTTGCTCAAAGTGACAAAACCCAGAGGACAATGTCTGTATTCCCTACTGGTCTGTAGGGAGTGTAATGTAGCTGATGCAATTCCCGGCTCCAGCACACCTGCAAGGTCTCATTGATCTGCTGCTCACTGCTCTGAAAACTCAGAAATCTATTATCAGTGTGAGCATGTGCTTATTGATCAGATTACCTGCTTCTGTTCCCTGTATGCACCTAATTGTAGCAACATAAGAGCACACACACACTTAAGTATACACACATGTTTCCATATATACAGGCATGCGCACACAGGTTATGAGGATGTGTGCATGTTAAAGGCTTTACTTTTTTTTTATTTTATTTTTTGCTTTACAAAACTGCACATAAATAAAAAGAATGGACCTTCTCAGTGAAACGTGAGCACAGGAACACTCACAAGTGGCCAAGAGCTGCTAAATAATTAATCAATAGAGCAGTGTGGCAGTTTGAAATGTAAATGTGATGGATGAAGGTGTGATGCTTGTCATCAAGCAGAAAATGATGTGACTGGAATGGATAACCCACAGTACCTGCTAACTGGCAAAAGCTTGGACACAAAGATAAAGTAAAGCCATCAGAAAGCAGCCCTGGCAACCCCTAATTCTTGCCTTTGACCCGCAATTCACTTTCATGTCTCTGTCCCAGAAGAGATGTTTAAAAAAATGATGAAGAGAGATCTTGGGGTGGGAAAGGGGAGAGAAAAAAACCATCAGAAGAAATGCTACCTGACAAGGCTGCAGGCTACATTCTTGAGAACACCTTTCTTTTCTTTATGTTCTCCTACTCCTGTTAAATAAAAATGCGGCTCCTTTTTTCCCTTTCCTTTCTTCCAAAACTCTCCCGAGCCATTCCTGCAAGTGGTTCTGTGACTCGGGAGCTGACAACATCCTCGTACAAAGGAACAAAGAATGAGAGTGACAATTCAGAGTGCACACAGGTGAGAAAGACACCTTTTACTTATCAAACTAGGCTGCAAAAAATGCTCTTTTTACTCAGTGAGCTAGAAATAGCGGTGATCTAACAAGGCACTGATCCAAATTCTTTATTTATGCTGAGATGTAATGCTAACAGGATTTTTAGGTTGACTAGTAGTCTGTGGCCCCTCCATTCAAGTAAGGAAACATTACTCTGATTTGGAAAGAGGAAAATCCATATAATTACTGTATATTATGTGACAGGAAAATGTATGCTGTGATGGCAAAGGGTGACAGAAAATGTCCATCAAAAAATTTGTTTTCAGTGAAATTCCTATGCCAGTCATTGCATTCTCTCTGTGGGGAAATGCAACAAGATGGAACTCATTTCTCCAAATTAGAGAGAAATTTACTTTTTTTAAAAAAGTGATTTTTTGATCCTTTTTTTCCCTTTAAAATTGCAAGCCTGCAAGTAGGATTTAAAAGTTTGATGGCTTCTTCTCCTTGAAAGAGACAATCTTATTTCTCAGTAAGTACCGTTTAGCAGGTTGAAGGATTTTTTGCCTCTTTTTTTATCAAAAGCCCATTCTTTAGAGAAATACCACAGTTTAACTTTAGATTTTCAAACTCCCCAAAATATACATTAGCAGATAACACCACTAAAAGTGAAAGTTAAATATAGATATATAATAATGCTTTGGCACACTACATAGACGGTCTACCATTTCTTAGGTATAAAATATACATACAAGTGTTCTCTTAAGATCTTTGGGGTTTCTAAGACCTCTATACACATGAATTGGCCTAAAGAAACAGCAGATCTCCAGGTGAACTGACCAGTGTTTTCATATTTCCTCAAATTATTATTTTTACCTTGTTTTTGTTGGGATCAAGTTTTTAATCTTTATGATACATTTATACAAGAGGCAGCAAGAAAACATGTAAATATTTAACCCAAATGAATTATAGAAGTCAGGAATTAGAGCTTAAATTAGAATAGAACTCCAGTTGGCCCAACTCCATAGTAAACAACCTACTTTTGCTCCTGGACTTTTGGTCCTGCAATTTAGCTACCTGGATAAGCTTTAAGCAGAGTGCCATCTACGGAAACAAGAAATCACCACTCTCCAAAGAAATATTTCCCTTCTAGAATAACAAAACAGCAGTCTGATAGGTAATTAAGCTTCAATTTTGTTTCTGTGGCATTGTAAATTGTGTTTTCAGATTTGTGCTTTTGGGGCTTTCATCTAGCTCATGCCAAAGCCACTCAGCTGTCCTTCCCTCTACTGCATTACTCCCTCTCTTTCTCATAGTTACATAGGTACACAGAGGAAAGGGACACCAAAATTGCCCTGAGAAAGGCAGATCTAAAAGAAGGCCCAACAGTGGCCATCAGCAGGTGGCTACTGAAGAGAAGAAACTGGTAACCTCATAGCAGAGTGCTCTAGATCACTGTCCCAGCCTCCAGCAATTTGAAACTTGGAGACTTCTCGAGCTAGAAAAATTTCCCTGACTTGATATAGCGACTGTTGGTTAAATATGCAGCAATGGCTGTCCTGTACCAGTAGGCTTAGTTTCACCCCAAATGTTATGCCAAAGTAGTTGCATATCATCGTGAAGAATAACTGCATTTCCCCAGAGTTGATTTCCTATGGCACATTTTACTTAGACACTTCCTCAACACCCTCGCAAATATGTTATGGATCTAAAACACAATCTCCTTTTCAAAATGAATGGGTATGATTACAGACATATTCATTTTGTAAAAGGTACAAAAGGATACAAATGTGCCTTTACATCTCATATAATGTCAAAGTAAGACCCTCTTGCCCTTTTATTTTGATCTCCGCCATTTGAAAATAAAAAAAATGACTTGATTATATGTTTTTTACCATTAAGTGTATAATTGCTTTTGTGTTTTGACATTTAATTCCTCTTACCAAAATACATGGTAGGAATTAAAAGTCAAATCTTTTATGCATTTGATGTACAGATCCTTCCATGTATTCAGTAAGAGAAATAGAACAGTGAAACCTTATGTCAAGTACAGTGAAGCCATATGAAAATGAAGACACTCTTTATACTGGAAATTTGACTGTGGCCCCAGTTCTACCCTCCCTTATCTAGGTCAATGGCATTTTTTAAATCATTGGAAGGTCTGAATGAGTCAAACCCAAGCAAAACCTGCAGGACTTGACCTTTAAAATAGAGGTGGGATGAAACCATGCCCTGTCAGGCAGATTTCAAGATTACAGTCCAGTCTGAAAATTATTTTCAAAAGCCCCAAGAGAGCACTCGAGCGTATTGACCTGGTATGGGATGGCAGTTTGTGAGGAACACAGGTCCCAGCAGGGAAGACCAGGAGCAGCCAGTGGGGCATCTTGGCTGGCCAAAGGCCATCAGGAGGGCTCTGATGCT